AAAAAAAAAAAAAAAAAAAAAAAAAAAGACCGACGGAGCTATCCCCTACGAAATGGATTAATAAAAAAGTTCTGTCATACCGGTACTAAAACCATGACCAGCACCGCATATGGGTCGTTCGCACGTCCTTTTCATTCGATATATCAAAATTTTCAAACTCTGCTTTTGCCTAGTCTAAGCCAAAGATTAAAAATTGAAGTGAAAACCTGGGAAAGTGCATTTCCTGTTAAATTACACCCTCTTAAAGTTGCAATATTCGGCAAGTTGCTTTTTGACAAGCCCGTATTCCCAAACTGGTGGTTCAGCCCAACTATTTAGTTTTTTAAATTCATCATTTTTTCCGCTTTCAAACGCATTTCTTAACTTATAACTTTTTTAATGGTCAGAAAAAACATATGCAACGTGGCTCAAGGCTTTGGAAAAAAAACATATTTCGTGTAAAATTTTTTGTTTCATAAAGTTAGTGTTGTCGCATTCCAGATTCAAAAATTACGGGCCTGAAACAAATAGGCGACTAAAAACAATCCACTGCGTCTGCAGTATTGCCATGCGATTTTTGTGTGGTGAAATCTACTCCAGCTGCTTCCGAAAACCAAATGGAACGGCTATTGAAGTCTATTACGTTAGAATCATTATGACTTGTTTGAAGCTTTACAAAATATTACCAAATCCTTATTCAACGCAGTCGTAAGGAGTAATTCTTACTCTAGCACTCTTTGCTTTCTACATGTTGCGGTCAACTGGGAATATCATAGAAGCAAATCTAGCTCAAAAAAAGGAAGAAGCAATATAATCCTTAAAGTAGCATAAGCTATAAAGAAAAGCGAGTTTTTTGAGCAAAGAATACGTACAACACAGAAATTTTCATTTCAGCGTATAAGAGGTCGACAAAAAAAGGCTTCTAAACTCCCAGAAGCGTGTCGGTAGTCTGCTCGTTACTGTTGGTTGTACAAGAAAAAATGAGCTCGACTCAACGTTCTTTCTCTAACATTATATACTGTAGTTCAACAAATCAGGAAAAACCTGTGCGCCACACTTAAGTAGCTAAGACAGCAGATTTTTGGACTTCCGCTCGATGCCAAAATATGTATTGGCTGCACAATTTTAAAAGGAAGTTGAGAAGCGGGAAAAGCTAGAATTGAGTACCACTCATTACAGCTAAGCAGAATAACAATTTGCAAATAATTTTTTGTAAAACATAAATTTTCAAACAAAGTACCAGATTTCTAAAGCTGCTCTCTGGCGCTTTCGGAAACAACTGAAAACGGTTCTGCCAGCTGAAAATTACATGGCAATGCCGTAAAAAAAGTGGATCACTTTTAGCCTTACATTCCTTTCCGGCTCGTAACTCTCGATCTGGCAAAACAACATCACCATTTTGTGACGTTATAACGCAAGAATTCTATACAAAATGTTTTTTTCTTTTTTGTAAAACCTGTCCAATTAAATTTGAATTCTAACTGCCAGTCAGCAACTCAAAAAACAACCTCCTTCCCTCGATTAATTCGAGTAGTCTTTCATAAACAGCCTTCGATCGTACACCGTCGATCCTAAAAAGTTTACCGTAAAATCCGTCTCTAAAGAAAAATAATTTCACCAAACTTTCACTATAAAAAAGAATTACGTCTGACGTTCCTTCAGCCTTTTGATTTGATCGTGGTGAACCTTCAAATCGGCAAGTTTTTTTTCATACAACGCTTTGTCCGCTGCAGAAACCCTCTCTTCTTCTTGATTTGGAGGAGGTTGTGAAGGAACACTGCTTTCAACTGAACCTGTACTCAAAGAGTAAGTTACAAGGGAAAATTCATTACAACCACTACAATACCAAATTCATTATCAAACAGCAGATATGCCAAGGTTGTCATTCCCCTGGTATTATCTATGAGTCTCCACTGAGAGTCGTAAAAAATTTTGAAGAAAAAAGCTGTGAAAAACTATTAAACTTTCTTCCTCCTCAATTTAAAAAAACTCTTGAAACACAGTCTTCAGCAAAAACTTCTTGAAAAAAAAAAAAGCTGTGCCTCTTCCGTAAAGCTTCGTTACCTTGAGGGTGACTTTGGGCGTAAATCACTGAAGGGACACTATTCGGACCCCTCTGTTGCAAGCCCAAATTTTGCTGGATGGCTGGTCGAACTGACGACGGTTGCTGAATGTTAGACGCCAAAGAAGAGTTGTAATTCGGCATGACTGATGAAGAAGTTGTAGCCTCTTGAATCGTAAAGTTTTGTGATTGTTGTAAACCTCCGGTTATGAAGCCGTGATTGGAAGATCTCCTTCAACATAAATAGATAAAATCTGGTATAAAATGATGTCATGAAAAGACGATTCTCAACTTATTACAAGCGTTAAACGCTAAATATAAGCATACTGCATGGAAACTTGGGGTTGACTTGCTGTGCTCAAATTGGTTTGCATTGGAGAGTTCTGATTGGGAAAGACAGCCTGTCCCATAGAAACAGACTGTTGGACTCCTACTCGGGCTATACTTCCACTTCCAATACTGCCTAAATGCTTGACAAATAAGATGGACAAACACCATTTACCGATTTTCAGATTTAAGTACGCATCATACCTGAAGTCAACCCTACTTTTTGATTTGCACTCGCATTTACCATGATCGACTGTGGACCCTGTGAATTATATATTGGTGCCATCTGAAAAAAGTAGTAAAACTTCACACTCACCACTGAAAGAAAAAACTTCTGCATTAAACAAACAGTGTTGTCCAGTACGTTTTATCCATTCACTTATTTTAAGCAGTTGAGGAATTTTTAATACCCGCATTTGATTGCTGCGTAAATAATTCTCGGCAATTTGTTTCTTTATTTCAATATTTGGTTCACTACTTATTTGCTGTTGCGCAATCTGTTGCATTTCTGGAGGTAATCGAGACACGATCTCATTCACTTGATTTCTGAAAAACAAAAAATTTGACCAGTTAAAAACCATCGACTAATTTTTGAAAAAACTGAAAGGCTATGATCCTAATACATCTAAAACGACCAATACGGATAAAAACTGCCTCATCTGTACCAGAATTGATGTTTTTTAAGCATAATCTGAATATTTCAGTCAAAGGGAACCATGTTAAAGAAAAAATAATGACCTGATTGCCACCTGTGCAGGCGAAATGTATTGACCAGACATACTCATAGACTGTTGATTCAGTTGAAGTACTGGCAAACTGTACCTAAAAACAAGATTTTTTACTAAAAGACCATTGGGAAAAGCAATCTCGCTTCGCCACTACCAAAAAAAGCAGCATCATTTTGAATTTCTAATATATATCTAAAGTGAAGAAATGATAAAAACGACCTTGGTTGGCGCTGTATTGTATGAGACGGATTTGACGACATACTAACCTGAATACAAGATTACTGTAATTTTAACTTCAACCTACCAGATAAAAGCACAACAAAATTTAATGTAGACTCCCACTTTACGTGTCAATTAAAAGCGATGAAAAAGAGGGGAAACAGAACGAGAGCCACTATTTCCAAAGACACCATTACTGCAAAAATAATTTTGCTATTTCATGTAATTTAAACTGACCATCCTTTGGCTTTGCATCCTTGAACCTTGTGTCATCATATATTGTTGCTGATGGTCAGAAAAATTCATTTTTACTTCCTGTCTATCAATTCTTCACTTACAAGACATAAAATAAAAATAACGAAATTAACATTTAACAGGCTATTTATTCAAAAACGCTTGTGGTAAAACGATGCGTTGACACTAACATTTCCTCACCAACATTTAATCTAAAATGGTAGCTGGAACTAAGATCTTTAAGCAAATTTAGCAGAATTTCTAGACGTATTCGTAAACGATACAAAATTTCACTTAGAAGCACCCTAAAGTTATTTTCTTTTTTTTTTTTTTTGTAACATCCAACATAAAAAGCATAGACTGCTCAATAGTTGTGATGAAATCCAGGTTACCTCAAAAGATACAAACCAAAAAACAAAAAAACATAGAAATTCTTTTTACCACAATGAAGTATAACTTGAAAATGTTTCACCGCACAATCTCATCAAGCACTTTTTACAACGAATAAAAGAAACCGATTAAAGTAATAAACTACAAAATCAATAACTGTTTTCAGAAAAATTAAGAGCATCCTCAAAAACCTAAAAACTGGAAACTTTCTACACCTGCCTTACCAAACTAGCGGGAACTGAAAAAGTTCATGCAAAAGAACTTACCTAAAATTTGAAAGATCTGCTTTTTAGCACATTAAAACTCCCTCAGACGGCAAAATTTCAAAAAAAATCTAAGACGTTTCCGTCATTACCACTTCGGTGGAAAGAAAAATCCTAATTTGGCTTTATAGAAGTACACTTAGGAAAAGAGTCTAAAAAATTAAAACATTTATGAAGTAGAAGAAATAATCGGCATTTACAGACCGCTTCATTCCGGTTTTCCACAAAAACCCTGAAAATCTGGCCTAGCTTATAAGTGAAAAGTAGTAACTCTTCCCCCATTCTCTATCACTTTCAAACCTACTTTCATCTTACAAGCCATTACTTTCTTGTTACTCAAGTGCAATAAATACGACTGTCATTTTAAGTCGACGTCATCAGCACAGGTATGAGCAATATTCTAGTACACGGAGACACTGTTTGCCCTAAAGACGCTCAGAGGAAGTTTTGGAGCCAAAATCAAAAAAAAACCGAAAAGAATGTATATTATCCGAAAACACAATAAAGATTGGATATGTTTCATTCACAATAGCCCTTAAAAACGCTTCTTTCGAACGAAAGTTCTTATAATGTCCTTTGTGGCGCAATTTGAAAAATACCGTCCATACACCCTCAAAATAAACTTCCTCCATATGTTGCCTGTATCTAATTTCGCAAACTTTGAAAAGGCCAAATTCAAAACGAATTTAAATGCTAAAAAACAATCTTCCTTCTTTGCAAAAAGCAGCACTTGACATGGGAGTAACTGCCACAGAAAGACACATTTGTTCCCGAAAGCTTCCAGAAAATACGCCTGTCCAGTCAAACTACGCACAAAGTTCAGGAATCTGAGCATCCCAGACCGGGACAGCTGAAAACAAAAATCACTTATGGCACAGCGGCAAAATAAACTGAAAGTTTTTGGCGTTTCCGCTATGATCTGAAAAAATCTTGCACTGAATGTGCCAATTTTGCATAAATGAAAAAAGCACATTACAGTATGCGAGAAGTCGCTACAGGACCGTTGGCTTTAGCTGTATTGCAACCTCTGTTTCTAATTTGTTGCGGAAAAGTTTGTCGTGGCGATACCACGGTTACTGCTTTGCGGTTGGCTGGCGATCGGAAGAACTGCTGGTCTGACTTCAGATTGAGACATTTTTTACCTAATTTATTTTGAAAACTCTCCGGTCATTTTCAGCCGACCCTGTTAACCGCATCTTTCCCTAAGTGGTGGTTGCTAAGTTATAGGAGTTTTGAGGCCCCGGACAAAATACTTGTTGAATTGTAACGTAAGGGCTGATTTCTCGTACTACTAGCGTTTACTTTTACTTGCGAAAATAACTGTTTTGCGCCATTTCGAGTTAGGTTTCCTTTTATGCGTTGATTTCTGTTGCTGTAGGAGCGTGTAGGGGTTTCTCGTAATATTTGCATTAAGCGGTACAGTACCACAGACTCCCCTTACCTGCTTTTGAAAAAACTGAAACTAGCGCAAAAAAAGAAATCTAACTCAAAAATTTGACTACCAAGACCTCTAGTCAGAATAAAAAGTTGATCAGTTCATTTCGGGAACTTCTTAATAAGCATAAGTTGGTTCCGGCCTGGATGAACGGAAAACCTGGAACTGCAGCAGACTTTTAGAGGGAATGTGGAGTGGGTGAAAAAAGTAAAATGTAACTCAAAAAAATATAGGTCATTTGTAATGGGATAATTCAGTTGCTTGCTCTAAGAGCATTCTAGCAATTATAGGATTCTCGAAAATCATATTTGTGACGTTTCACTTTCAAACAGTTGGAACAGCTCCAGCAGAGACGCATTTCTTTTTAACTGAATCTTCGAGAGTAGCTTGCAATTGGAAAGGCCTATATTTCGGTCTTTTCAATTGGCACTAGCTCAGGTCTTCGCTGGCGCAGGTTTCGAAACGTAAATTTAAAAATTTCATTTTTTTTTCAGTTCAGCAAGTAGTTTACATCTGATTCATTGATGTGCACGGTTCTTTTTATTTTTTGTGATTAAAGCTTGCTTGTTTCAGTACTAGTCAACTCTATAGTTAAGTATATTAGAGTATTAGAGTTATTTATCTCTACGTAATATGCAATTTGGAAACCAGATTTCACTTCACTGCATAAAGTTTTCAGTTTCGATCTGCATCCGCGAACCATGGAAAGTAATTGCATGCTACCATCAAATTTTTCAATTATCGAGCAAACTAATCAGGTGGTCGAACTACAGACAATCATTCATGATAAGTAATGTGCCGTTTAGTTTACAGATTTCATCCCTGTTAGTTTTATAACTGGTCCGTTAGGAGTCCTACTTTTACAACGAACGTCTTTGTTGCTATACTGTTAAGTTAGGCCCTTATGTTGCTGTAAACGGAAATTATAGCCGATTTCATTTCTGTACTTGGTTTTTTTTTAACTTTTACTTTAAGTCTTCCTGCAAGGAGTCTGCAGCTAGCTAGCAACCAGCATGGCTGCTGACCGTTTCGCCAACTTCTAAATCTTTTTTTTTCTTAATGTCTGGAAAGTTGGTTAGTGTATGGGTTGAAGTCAGTCTGTGCTTTTTGGATCCTCATGTTCCTTCCAAATACGAGATTAAAAAGCAAACATCTTTACCTCATTTTGAGAGAAACCAATCGTTTGTGAATTATTGTACAGCTGTTTTGAGAATCTGAATGCTATACTTCTACGTTGGTGTTCAAGAAACAAAATTTTAAATCTTTCAGAGCACTGTAGTCAGAGGAGTTACAGAGTGGTTTACTATAAAAACAAGTCGGTTTTGCTATCGCGAATTTTCAATGATTGGTTTTAAAATTGGAATATGCATTTTAAACATTTTTTCAAAAACTCGTTGATAGTGTTGAGTTCTACGCCAGTCAAAACTCCAGATATTTGAAAAAAATTTTGGAGATAACAAGGGAACTTCGATATCTTCCCAAGCTACACGCTTTTCTATGAAGATTATCAAAGGATAAGTTAGGATTGGAAATTGTTATAGAAATGAACTCGATTGAACGTTAGGAAAGTTAGATAGCACTTTACTAATTACAGCTCTCGTAGTTATCATAAGAAACGCGATACGAGAATTTGATGCGGCTCTCTAAATGCTTTTTTGAGATGGCTCTCATATGCGGTTTGATGGTAAACGACCATCCCATCTAAGCCGAATACATCACAGTTTAACTAGAATATTGCTCATCATATGCAGAGTTGTAGTACTCGTACGTAGTAGCCGTATCGCACAGCATATCAGTATTGCGGTCAGGCATTTCTACACATCAACATGCTTTTTTTTTAATTAAAAAGGTCGCATTTCTGTGTGTGGCATTTCCGACCTCACTTTATTCATCTCCGGTAATTTGACACTTTTAAGTACTTTCTAACGACCTGCTGCTAAAATGTCTTTCTAACTTTTGTGCCTTTTCAGACATCGCATCATTGGTCGCACCTAAAAGTGGGTGTAATTACTCTTTTTGTTCACAGTTTTAGAAATTTAGAGAGTTTAAGTCTATATTACAGAGGGCAATAACTCGCCGCCAAAAATTTATTGGTAATTTTGTAGTTGTTTGGTGTTCATTGTCTTATTAACAACTATTTGGGATTTAAATCACTTTCTTTCTTAGCTAGGTATATTTTGCTGGATTGGTCATTTTCTAAAAATTAACATGGAGATTTTGCGTTCTACTAGGGGTATTTATATGCATAACTATCATCTGTAAAAGATCTGTAAAAGCAGACATTTGTTTTTATTTACTGTTGTTAGAAATCGAACAAATAAAGCCAGCTTTAAAATACTTTTCTTAAATCCAGTGCGATTCGTGGTCAGCTAAGAACACTTCAACAGAATAATTCATGAATGTCCCTTTAAGGCTGCGTATCGGTTACTGTTTTCAACATAGACACCATATCATGTTTTGTTTGTAGACGGGATTTTTTGCTCCAGCAGAACGTTTTATCCATTTAAGCGTGTTTTGTTTCTTTGCCCGTTCAGCAGTCGTGTTCTACTAATCGACCGCATTTGGAGGCCCTAAAGCTTGGATAGGGTTGCTTTAAGGTTTGAGCAACAACCTGCCGATTCTAGAAGTTCATTAAAGATGCTCTCTCTGGAAGACTGTTTAGTCGTTAGAATACTTGAAAATAGAGTGATTGAAATAAGTTGGTCAAACTGAGTTTCACTGATCAGTTTTTGAGTTATGCGTTGTTCTTTCAAACTAAGTTTGTCACAAGTCTAGTTAGTTCCGTTTTGTAAACGAGACTGAATTTTTTACTTTTGTGGGCCCGGAGCAACTTTAGGTTTTCCCTCCCCTGACTTTTTCATCTAGGTGGCTCGTGAGGTGCGCAGAAGCAGCGCGACTTTATTCAGCTAAAACCAGGGGGTCTTGACTGTTAAAATTTTTCGTAATTTTTGAGTTTTTTTACATAACTGCATTCTCTTTCCAAATACTGGACCTCTTTGTAGACAGTACAAAAGAGCACTTTTTTATTATGTGTATCTTTAGACAGCGGCATTTCCTTCTCGTAACCAGAAGGTGCAAGTACGGAGTTTCTCTTTTCAAAGTGGATTCCCGTTGCGCATATGACTTATTTATTTTATATTGGTATTTGTTATCAGGGAAAAGTTAGTTTGAATTTGCTTCTAAATAGCCTGTTAAGGGGAACACTTTAGAAGGTCTATGACACTGAATGACGGCTTTTCCTTCCCCAAGCGAAGTGCGCTTTGTTTTTTCGTATACATTTAGGTAGTTCCTCGTTATTTTTTACAGCTTCTTCACTTACTGCTCAAGGCGTTTTCGGAATTTCAGGAAGTAACAAGGTTCATGCTGTGGTATGTAGAACGAAGGAGATCCTCCTCCGAGCCATTCTTATTTAAATTGAAGTCCTCTTGAAGTAGAGAAAGGACATTTTTTTTAGCCAAGAGTGATCGATTTCTGAAGATTGTCAGCCGCCTTACTCTTCACAGTATTAAACATTTTCAAACATTTTTGGACTTGTCTTCTTCAATTTGGCCTTATCAAAGTTCTCCTTCATAATTTTCAAAATTAAAAGCAAACCATCTTTAAAAAGGTATTGGACTATTTATTATTCCGATGTAGAATTTTTTTGATTTGGTTGGGTAAATTCTGAATTTAAGAGCATTGTGAGTTATGAAAGTGAAAGTGAAGTGAAGTTGTGAAAGTTGCATTTGGAACTCGGGGTTCATACCTGCATGACAAGTATAGGAGCAGTAGAGGATCATTTTGAAGATGTCTTGGAAGCCGAACGCACATTTGAACGGAAGAAGGAAGTTCAAAAGGAACCCTCCAGATTTTTATGTAGCGTTCGGTTACAGCCAGCGAAAGTTGATAAGGTAGCCATTGAAAGTTCACGAATGTAAGCTAAGAATCTCTAGTAAGTTGTTGCAAAGTAATTTTTACTTTTAGTTCTGCTTTTAGTGAATTGTATTGATTTATTTTCTGAGTTGGTGTATGGAACTACATATCACAATTTCCAGAGGTGGAAATAGTGAACGTTTGAAGAGTTTGACAATGAGTGAATAAAATTTCTGATTTTGTGCTAACTTCTGTTACTGCCATAGTAAAAATTTGACTAAAAAGAATTTCAAGTACTATTTTACAGCTAGAAAAGATGAAGTTATGTGCTCGCTGACAGAAACCGATCAGGGGAGTTTAACTATAAGTGTTTAATGCCTTATTCGGGCATTATAATATCATTTTGGTTTAATCAGAGAACGTTTGAGGAGGTATTAAAAAAATTTCAAGTACAGCTACGCCGAGAACTTGCGAGAAACGGACGATTTAGAGAAGAATTCTCTGGCGCTGGTGGAGTCTTAAAAAGAGTAGTTTTATGAAGCGAAACCCAGTGGTCGAACGGCTGCTGAATCGTAATCAATTTGGTATCTTCTGTTGCTTGCAGGTATATTCGTGGGCACTGGGGTGAAGGTTTGTAGCTTGGTAGTAGAGTGACTTCTTTGACGGCGTAACGTACGTATTATTCTTCGAGGCACACTTGGCTAAGGAATTGGATACATCTTGTGTAAAGTCACTGTTATTATTGTTTGTCAAAAATACGCCTACACAACATTTAAAGAGTACTTTTGCTGTATGAGGATGTAGTGGCCCTTACAGTTGGATGTTCTTTCAGAATAGCAATAGCAGTTAAAATGGTTTTTTTTTTTTTTTAAGTTGTTTGTTAGACAATGATCGACGAGGTGGATTTAACGGGGTGGGTTTATCAGTCTCCGCGCCTGGATTTCGTCGATATTTTTTGGTGGTGGGCAATCCGCATTGAGCGACGGCGCACGCCAAAAGTGGTAGACTGATCAACTGTTTCTGCACAACGAGATGTTCTGCATCGTCAGTGGTCAGAGGTAAATTTTCAGTTCTTTAATTGAACTGGTTCAAGAATTGCGTGGAGTTGT